AATTGTGTAAAACGATTGTTTGTTTATTTCCTAGGTTTTTAAATGACATAAGGTTTAGAATGACGGATGCAAAGGGTTGTTAAATGATTTCTATTTTCCTAAACTGTTAGTTCTTACGATTTTTTGGTTAGCTTAACCTGGGTCTATTTGTTCAGGGTTGGAGAGAAAAGTATATCGATTCCGAAGAATGATTTTTACTTTCTCGTGACTAGTATAAGCTAAGGTGTTAACTTACTTAATCTTACTTAGGGGTAGTGATTGTGTTCAAGGGTTGGAGAATAGTAAATCGATCCACAAGGTTCAGGTATAATTAGAACGCGAGTAGTTCGTTAGATACTATTTTAAACTTACTAAGTCTAAGATTTATCCTGGGTCTGGTAAGAGGAGGGGTCAAGTGAAGGATGAATAACCGAAGTTCTTCACTGTTTATCCTAATTTGAATGATTAGTTTTGTTTAAAAATTTCTATTAGTCTGGGGTCTTTAGAAAGGGTTGGGTAGTGAATCGACGTTTGAGGTCGTTAGACACTAATTAAGTGGGTGGGGGAGAACAAAGTTGTTCTGTTTGATCCAAGGATAAGCCTTGATGATCAAGTTTGAAATTTAATTAAGTAGAAAATGATTTAAGATCCAAGGATAAGCCTTGATGATCTGATTTTAAATTAAGCGACTTTAAGTTTTAATAAAGTTTTAAATTTGTGTAAAGGAAGGATTTAGTGTTTTATGATGTTAGTGAGTTGATGATTGCTGTTATGTTTTAGGTGATGAAGCTGGAACAACAGGATGATTTATGATTACTAACCATTTATTGTCATGCTACTAATTTTTATTTTTATTTTCCAATAAATATTTTTCAAACATGTTTTGTATATTACTGCAGAGTTTTAGGAAAACGATCTTAGATCTTTTTATCAATCGTTATTGTATATTAATAAATTTGTTTAGCGCCTGAAATGATTTTGAAGCGTAACTTCAAGGTTTTATGTTTGCAAATGGAAATCTAAATTCATTGCAAGTAGTATTCGAAATATAAAAGTTTGTTCTGGCTTTTGCCGAACTATCATATAACTATACGGCAAGTTTCTACTTTGTCGTATGTCGTCTTTGGTTCGAGGTCTTCTTCCAATTCCGGGTAGTTCTGTTATGGTTCGGAATATTGGCTCTGATCTATTGAGTCGTAGAGACATTTCGATTAAATTATTGTCGTATAACATTTTTGTAAATGTTTTTGTCTAATTTCTAATCTATTTTGGTTAATTCTAATCTATTAAGGTCTTGTTCGAGACTTATGGTCGCACCAGATGAGTTAGGTCCGAAGTGTAACTCATAGAGTAATTTCGGATAGGGTACACCGTCTGCTCGTCACGCTATCTTATTTTCGGCCGGATAGATTCGTGCAACTTCTTAGTCTAATACCGATCCTAATCTTACTCTTATACTATCTAGTCTCAGGTTGTTTAACTAGTCTCTGCTAGGCTCAATAGATCTAGGGTATACTGGTTTATTGCGGCTGCTGAAGTGCTCGGGAGAGTCCAACTAATTTCTAAGTTAAATTCAAATCTCTCTGGTGCTGAAATTACAAGTAACTTCAGCACTTACAAATAAGTGGGTTGTTAGTTAGATGGATCATGATTGGTTAATATTAAATACTTTACATTGGTAAAACATTTAATTTATCCAATCATAAAATGTGGTTTAGATCAGGAACAGCCCGTGAATACATCAACCACCCCAAGCATACTAACACAAAAGAATTTTTAGCCATCACCTTACCCTCATTCCCACAATACACCTTAAACACCCCCCATGACACTAACGAAACACGCAACTTCGTAGATGAATACGTTTTAATGCCTACTCTCTCTTGGACCTCATATTATCATTTCACTAACCCTCTTTGCTTACCTTTATCTAACACTCACATCGATATAGAGCGAAATACGGACATGCTATATCGACTCACTACACCACTAACCGCTAGACAATTTACTTACGTTGGATATAAAAAATCACTAAAAACACACACTGCACCTAGAGCTAACGAATATACACTCGAATACTATGATCACAACATCATCAGAGCTAACCAAGATCAATTCTTAGACGACGATCGCTTCGCTAATCCACAAATTACCGAGAAATTTTTCATCAAGACACCATATACATTCACACTAAACATCTTCGACCGAAAGTTTGATCACATTATTTCAGAAGCACTAACAGACACACAAGCATACGAAAGTTTTAAAGAACGCTTCCAAATATTTTCACTAACCTTTCATTTCCTTGCACCACACGAAAGAGATTTACACTGCTCACACGATATTATGTTGCGCACTAAACAAACCCACACATATAGTTATTATCGTTTCATCCAAAATCACTTTGACCTACACACACCCTCTAGACAACCACACCATCGTTTTCAATTCATTAATTCCAAATACACTTCACCATTTTTCCTAAATTTCACATATTGTATTAAAGACACTAACCTCCATGGTATTCTTCGTAATTATGACCCCATAACCCAAATGTACATCTTCTGTCCCATTACCAAAACCTTCAACGCCGAAGAATCCCGACCCTTCCTTATCCCGCACGAGTTTGTACAACCCATAGAAATCCCAATTTTAGAATTCATCCACAACACTAAATTCAATCACAAATTATATAACTTAATCCAAAACACACCTTATGAGTTTGCAGTTGGCACTGAAGAACTAACCACTATTAAGGCACTTCAATTGCTTTGGCCACTGCTTCAGACTAAAAATATCATCCGCATCTTAGCTAAACTACTAACAACTTCAGAACTAATTCACGACATCTTCCCCCACGGTTTTTTCCCCGACGACTAACAGGTAAGTATGAATTAAATGAATATAACTAACTAATTAAAATATTAAAAAACTCACCATACTTTATTCATGTTTTCTTTAGATTTTTAGCCTTCATCCGACGATCAACTACAAAAACCACAAAAGACAAATAAAAATCACAAATTTCATCAAACAGATTTCAAAAATTCTATTAATCTCTTACACTTATAAATTTATAAATTTAATACCAATGCAGTAAATTCATTTCTAAAAATTTTCCCCACAAGCAGTAAATCTAATTATGATGAAAATTTGTATCTTAATATTCCCCCATGACTAGCAGTAAATTTCTAAATTCTATGTAGTAAATTAATAAAATGCAATTGCAGTACTAACCTTTTGATATTTTCATTCATTCGCACAGAAATTCTATCCACACTCGCACAGCTCGCCCACGAAGAATTGTTTAAAATAATGAATTTCAGTTTCAAGTTTTCACACTCAACAACTCTAACATATAATAACATGTTTCAAACTTTCCTTTAACCCGGTTGGAAAGGAATCATATACTAAACAAAACTAACCAACGCAGCTTACTAAAAACCACAAATCATAGAATAACAGCATGACTAAGAAAAGGAAACCAACGGTACCCAAACCGGATTAACCCAGTTTAAAACTGGATAATTTATTCTTTTGAAGACTATTATAAAGTCTAAGAAAGAAATAATAAAACACAAAAAAGTCAAAAGACAAACCCATACCACAAACAATTTGCTTTTTGGAAAAAGTACATAACCAACAAGACATAAGTAAGACCACAACAAACCCAACATAAAACGTTGTCACATAACAGGACCCCTCACAAAAACCGCATGAAATCATACTCCCACTCCTGGCCTAACCCACCAGGAAGGACGTCCTGAGCATGCTCTATAGCCGGCCTAACCCACCGCGCTACATCCACGCTTTGTGACCACACCACTATTTTTAATAAGAGCTATTCAAGTGTGAGTAACTCTTCAAAATAACCGAACTAAAACAAAAAGCTTTTGTGAAAACAACTAACTAAAATCATTATTAAAAAATATTAAACTAATAAAAGTTTTATAAAATGTAAAATCACATGATGCAATATATAGATCAGAATACAACACCAAGGACGAACATCAAAAGACAAGACGACCTCACTACACTCGAGAGAGAATGACCAACTACAATCGATATGCCGCTCACAATCACAACTCAAAGGATTTAGAGTACGACTTGACCTCGCAGAAAAGGACTTCATTGAACTAGACCAATGACCACCTCGATGTTCAAGTATACGTACAGATCCGAATAACCAGGCATCCCCTCCACGCACAATCTCCACGCCATTCCCAAACTAGATCATACACAAAAGAAGTTCTCCACGCAGAACAGAAAAACCTGACATAGCAAACCATTCTGAAATCAGATTTGAGTTTGTTGCAAAGACGTAGTCGTTGTCACTAGAAGACACAACGTCTTATGTCTCTAACTCCAGCTTCCTGGAACTTCCCTAACAAAAGAGGAAACGGAAGAAAATTATGATGTTCGCCAAAAACAAACGTCCATCATCCATCCTTCGAATTGCAGAAGAACTATTCTAAAAAACTCTGTAAAACCCGGATGGGTGGAACCTGATCTAAACTACATTTTATGATTGGATAAATTAAATGTTTTACCAATGTAAAGTATTTAATATTAACCAATCATGATCCATCTAACTAACAACCCACTTATTTGTAAGTGCTGAAGTTACTTGTAATTTCAGCACCAGAGAGATTTGAATTTAACTTAGAAATTAGTTGGACTCTCCCGAGCACTTCAGCAGCCGCAATAAACCAGTATACCCTAGATCTATTGAGCCTAGCAGAGACTAGTTAAACAACCTGAGACTAGATAGTATAAGAGTAAGATTAGGATCGGTATTAGACTAAGAAGTTGCACGAATCTATCCGGCCGAAAATAAGATAGCGTGACGAGCAGACGGTGTACCCTATCCGAAATTACTCTATGAGTTACACTTCGGACCTAACTCAGTAGTCAAAGAAAATATCTCAAGAATTTCTGAATTTCAAATATCAAACTATTTTACTCTTCATATCACTTGCCTGCGCGTATTGCTAGCTTACAATGTTATCAACCTTTCTTAGGTACTCTACTGGTGACCAGAAGTGGATCCTACTCGAATGGCGCTCAATCGCAAGGGGCCAATGAAGAGTCCACGAGTGACAGACAGTTTCTAGTGCTCACATCTGACAAAGAGGCGAAGGTCTCTTTTATTTTTAATTCCCTTCATATAAACTGTTTTTTTTTCAGATTCAAAGAATCTATGGGCTCATTTTCACCGTTCCTCCACATTGAAATTTTTCCGGGAGATATTTACCCTGCAGCTTTTCCCGTTTTTGTATCAATTTTATATGGTGATGCTATTAACTCTAAATGTGTGATAAAAAGATGTGAATATGCAGAGAAATGTTGTTGAGAGTTTTTAGATGGTTTATCTCACAAATTTCATCAAATTTGTCTTAGATCAAGCCTAAAGAAATTTGAGAAGTTCAGTGTGTTCCAATTTCAGGTGGTCTCTCTTCCGTCTCAAAACGTTGTTTTCAGACAGAAACTCACAGAAACTTCCTACATTGTCAGGGCAGATCCCATTATTCTATCTGGTATGCCTATATACGTTTTCTCTACATCAATTTTTGTTGGTTGATTAACATATGTTCAAAGAAAACTGAAGATGAAAATATGTGTTGTTTTTTTCCTCTCTTCTACCCGTGTTCAATTTTTTCAATTAATTGTTATTTTTTTGCAGTTTGAAACAAGACTTTTGCTAACAAAATCACATTCACGGTTCTTGTTGTTTTTTTTTCGGCAAAATTTAACAATTTATTGCTTTGAATAATTTTTCATCTTCTATTCAGGCAAATTGTTCCGATTTTGATTATAGCTTTCGAAATTTTTTTCTTGGTTGATTGAAGGCTATTAAACGCCATATTTTATTTTCGACTTAATGATCACAAGAAATGTTCATATTGTGTTGTTATTTTTGAAGTAAAATTTCTCAAAATTTATATATTTTGAGTTTTGGCGTTTATATAATAAAAATGATAAATTTGCAACCGGACTTAGATAAAGGAAGTTAGTTTTCTATTACCCTTTGCACGGTTGATGGCTCAGTTTTTCGGCAAATTATTTGATCAGTCATACGGTATAAGATATATCAGCTTATTCATCGTGCGGCGATGCCTGTATTTAATATGCATGTTTTTTTTTGAACGAAATCGATCTAGCTGTTTATTCGAGTGATATGTAATCCGGGGACTTGGAGTCAAATCTGTGTACCTAGTGGGTTTCAAGCTCTTTTTGGCCTCTTGTGTATGCCATGTGTAACGTTATAGTTGTTCGCATGATGGTTTTGAAAATTGCCCATTTGTCGGTTTGCTGGTATAAAATATGCGCGTTTTGCACCTATCTATGCTGCTCAACATGTAAACGCGAACTATCATGCCCTCTTATTAAAAAATTTGAATTGTGGCAAGCTTATTGGTTCAAATAATTGTTCCCTACATGACTCAAATCACTTTTTTTCAGTACGTTTTTTGTTATGGTTTCTTTTTTAGGGCATTGTTTTTTTGATTCCTTTTTTGAGAGTCAATAAACGATTTCAGACTCTTGTGTAGATCGCATTGATTTTTTTTTGTTTTTTAATTTTCAGATTTGCCAGAGAAATCAAAATTTTACTTATTGATTCAGTTTTCTCAAATTGGGTTAATGTTATCAAAAAAAAGCCAATGATAAATAGTTCTCAAAAATCAAAGAGCTTTAAGGGCATCTTTTTTTTCTTTGAAGTTCAAAAGTTGAGTTTTGCTTAAAAAAAACAAGTCATTGTTTTTTTATTACTTGCGTTCATTGACTCTTTTCCAAAAATTGTTTTTCAATTGGCCTTTTTTACTATGACTGTCGAATAAGCATAATTTCTATTTTTTCGTTCAGATATTTTTATCACACTACGCAGAAAAAAATTAACTTTAATTTGAAAAAAAAATTGTTTTTTTTTTCAAGACTGGTCGGAACCTGGGGCAGATTTAGAGATGAGGTACCTTTGTTATATTTTGAGATATCCCTTTTTGGCTGACTGACCCTAAAAGTTTTTCTGAAGGCGTCTTCGGCTCCAAAGTGTACTAATTTTGAGGGGGGAGCGCGCGCCAAAAACCGCGAGTTTTTTTGTCAAAATTTTGGTCGATACCTTCTGTGCTATTTGCACAGTAACCGGCTATCCTTGTTATCTTTCTGCAAAGTGTTAATGAAGGAAGCGCTATTTTTTTGTTTCACGCTCTTGTTTGATTTGCGGTTTGACTTTCGATTTTTATTTTCATTGCACAACGGAGAGCAAACTTTGCTCTCCAACAACAACAGTTCAAGTAGCCAGAAAAAACGTACAGGACTTTTATTTGCGAAAAGCGGGTTTTAAAGAGTAATAAAAAAAGCTACTTATTTGCCCACTTTTGAAAGTCGATGCACGCAATGAAGACTCTTATAAAATCTGATCAGGCTGAAATTTGATATTTTTTTGCGGTTTGATTTTTGAGTTCTGTCAAGTTCACTGCGTTTCCTTGGTTAAATGGAAGGCAAACTCGACTTTCGAACAGCAAATGTGTTAAGCTAAAAACAAAAAAACCAGAGTGACTTCTAGTATCGAAAAAGGATTTTTATTTTCAGGTATCCCAGCGAATAAAAAATTGATCCAGTTTTTTCAATTTGGATTTATTTTATCGAAAAAGTCTATCATAAATTGTTCTAGAAATTCGAACATCTTTAGACCCTCTTCTTGTTTTTTTTTTGAAATTCGAAAGTTTTTCAAAAACAAGTCTGTATTTTTATCTACTTGCCTTCATTGACTCTTTTCCAGCTGTTACTTGGCTAGGTTTTTTTAATTGGGTTAGTTTCATGGAAAATGGCAATCTTTTAAGTTTCTCGAAATTCAACTTTCATGTTACAAATGTTACGCAAAACTTTAGATTTTTTTTTCGTTGATTTACATTTTTCCAAATGTCTGTATGTTTTATTCTTTCAGGCGGGGCCTGCCTTGCGTGTTACGTAGCCAATGGCCACATCATAGTCTGGAGTCTACCTAGCTTAAGAGTTCTACTGGACGCCGAATACATTCCATTGACAGACATAAGGTGAGAAACGTAGTGAGAATGCCATGTATGTCATGCCATGTCTTTGTTTGTTCTCATAGTTTGACTGCAAATGTCGGTTGAATTTGTGTGGTGATATATCTTTTACCAGACTGTCCGCTTACCAGACAAAACAAGCTAATTTTTACAAAAGCAGCTAATTTTTTTTAACCACAAGCTACTTTTTACCAAACCAGTTTAATTTTTTTTACCAAACCAGCGAATGTTTACCAAACAAGCTAATTGTTACGCTAATTTGGACTCAGCGTTGGCAATTAGGGCACGTTAGTTCTGATTCGATGTGCTGCGAATTTTTCTTTTCCTGTTTTCTAAATCTACCTCTCGCGTATACCCTACCTCTAGCGTAACTGGTATACCCTGTGGAACCTTCTAATCCACTAAGAACTTTGACATTTTGTAAAAAAAAGTTTCATGCAATGGCTGGTTAAGCATATTTTTGGGTTTCACTCGTCTTTGGCACTCTTTTTGACACTCGTTTTTGGCTCTTTTGTACTAGATAAAATGTGTCTAGATCATCTCTTTTGGTCCGTTGAGGAAACGAATGAATTTTTTGTCTCAAACGGCCAGTGAGTCGTCTAAATTAGGACCAATATCAATCAAGCGTACCAAACCAATCATGGCGAGTTAACTGGTAAATGGCTGTTCTGGTGAAAGGTCGTCTCCCGAAGATAGTGTTTTGAAAATAATGCACAATAATTTGTTTGACTTGGTTAAATTAATTAGATTGGTTATTCTAATGAAAGAAGCACAAAATGTCAGAAATATTCATACCCCTAAAAAATTTTAACTATCAAATGCTGATGACTTTCGCGCTCATTTCATTCAAGTTATTTGGTTCTAAGTTCTGAATCTCATAAATTTCTGCCTCTAGTATCTTCTGCTAAGAGCGATTCCCCAAGTTAGATAGATTTAGCAATAATTTATTTGTTTGAAAAAGTAATTAGGGTTTTATTACCTTTTCAAGAGTTTTGGTTAATCATTTTTTTATTATCATCGCCGTATTTACCGTGTATAGCAATTAGAACTGTCCGTTCATCTTTAGGATCAGTGATTTAGATTTGATTTTGTTTCTCACTAGACTCTCAGTTAGGTCACTAGGTAGTTTTTTCCAAGGCTTTGAACTCACAACGTGGATAAAACTTCGATTATGACAATGCTTGAAAATTATAGAGGCTAGAGTACTAGAAGTATAAACGTCAATCAACGAAGTGAAGACACTTATAGTTCGTTTGATTGTAAAGGTCATTTTTTTTAGGTAGGGCGACAATTAGTAACAGGCGATAATTCGTAACAAGGCATTGAGAAGAAGAAAATGCTCCGCTGCACTTACAACGGGCACGAGAGGAACAGTGCGCATAAATTAGTGTGTGCCGCTTAAATTGTTTTACGAATTGTCGCGTTGTTTTTTTAAAGTTTTTATTAATAATCATTCGCTAAAAAGACGGCAAATTACGCTTTCTTATTGCGATGTGCAAACGGCGTTTTGTGAATGATTTAAGATTCAAAAACATATATTTGGCAGAAAACCAACGTATAAGCCACTCCAATGCGCTTAAATTTGCATAGTTTTTTTTAAGCTGATGTAAATTTTTAAGGTTTTCAATGCTCATTTTTCGTTTTCTCCCATTTGAAGTTTGATTTCTTTTGAAGTAAGCTTCATTTTTTTCGCATTTTTGGGGGCAAATTACGCTCTCCAATAAATACAATTGAACTGATGCAGAAAAATGAAGCTTGATGTTTCGTTTTATACGTGGATTTTAAGACAACAGACCTTATAGTAGTTTTTGTGGACAATTTCCATTACCGCTTTGATATATCTAGGTCTGAAAAAAGGTAATTAACCTGCAATTATTTTTTGATAAGCTTTGGAGGTTTGAAGTTCGTCATTTTGCTGGACTAAATTAAGCGCGCTTTTGGGTTTTCTCCCAAATTAAGCGCGCTTTTCTTTGATGCTGAAGGCATAAGGGTGGTTTATTTCAGCGCGGTTAATTATTAGAAATTGAGTCGCGAAAGTTTGAGTATTGGCTGGACCATTAGCATGATTCCATTGGTATTTTTTTGGGTAAAGTTCAATTGGTTTGTTTAAGATGGTTTTAAGTGTTTTGGTGGGTTTTGCTTTCGTTAACCTAACGGCGGAATTTGGAATTTTTGTTAATTTTGATTAATTTTTTGGCTTCGTTTTTTTTTGGTTTCTAATTCAGTGAGATCAGTTGCCGGGCTATTGTTTAAATTATAATCATGTAATATTTTATTTAATGAAATGTTTCAATCACATTTTTCCCATAGTTGCCTCTGTTTTTGAAGCTGAGGGTAATGCAAGTGGATATCAACAGTGTCTCAAATATGGATTTAATGTTAGATTTCAATGAAGGAAAAAATTATGCAGAATTCAAGAGTTTTCTCGAAATAGGCCATTAATTATAATAAGGTTTTGGGAAAGTTTGACTGGTAATTTTAGAAGTCGAGGACCGTCGTTCAGACTCTGATATTGGTGGCGATGATTTTGTTTCCGTTTTTTTAAGGAAAAATTTGTTCAAGCTCAATTTAATTTTTTCGTGGTTTGACTTTTGATTTCTGCTCAAGTTCAGTTTATTCATTTTGTTAAGAGGAAGGCAAACACCATTATTGACCAGGAAAAGTGTAAAAGTCGCAAAAATTGTGATTGACTTCTTATTTAGACAATGGATTTTTTTCAGATTATATAGGTCGATGAGGCGCCGGGTAGGGCAGCGTAAGACAAGGCAGGGCGAGGAGTGGCAACGACGGGTAGGGTAGGGTAGGGCGAGGAGGGGGCAATGCAGGGTAGGGTAGCGCAACGCAGGGCAGTGTTAAGCTAAGCACGTCAGGGCCAAGAGGACGGGCAAGGCAGGACAGGACGAGAAGGTACAAGGCAGGGTAGGGCAGCGCAGGACCGTGTGACGAAGTGCAAGGCCAGGGTAGGCTCAAATGGGAACGGTATGCCAGCTCAACTTAAGGCTTGGCAGAGCAAATCCAGGTAGTGCAGATTGAGACGAGGCAAGACAAGGCAGGTTGAGCAGATACAAAGCAGGGCAGTGCAGCGCAAGATGGCGCAATGCTGGGCACTGCGAGGAGCAAAACAGGGTAGGGCAAGAAAGCTCGAGGCTGGACAAGGCAATGGAAGGCAGAGAAAATAGGGGCAGAGCAGAAGGCAAGGCACGGTATCGCTTCACGAAATTGCGCTACGAGGGAAAGGCAAGAAGCGACAACCCAACGCCACGCTCCGAAAGGCAGGGTGGGGTTCAATCAGCGATATACGCATACATCCGGCTAACTATCCAATCAGTCATCCGTTCATCTATTAATCTAATCATCCATCGATCAAGCGACCCTACCGAACCATTGATCCTTCTTGCAATCAATCTAACCATCCATCCTGCAATCAATCTAACCATCCATCCATCCTGATGGAAATTGGGCAACTATTCAGGTACCCATTTTCCATCCCTCCATCTATCTTGCCATCCATCATCCGTTCATTCATCCAACCGGCAATATATTAAGCCATCCATCCAAACATCCATCCCTCGAACCAGTTTTTCATTTTTCCAAGCATTCAGCCAGCCATCCATCTTCAATGCAACTAATCCATTACGCCATTCGTCAACCACATGTCAACCTATCCACTCATCTAGCCATCGATCGTCCGTCAGTTGAACCAGCTTTTTTCAAGCCATGTATTCATCCCTCCGGCAATCTTTCCTTCCAGACATACAGCCAGTCAGCCATATATCCGACCAGATATCTTTAATTTACGCTATACACCCAATCAGGAAGCCATCCAGCCATGTATCCATCTAGCCACCCATCGCTTATCTCTCCATTATCTATCCAGCTATTCAGGTACCCAGACGCCCATCATCCAGCAATCTACTCTTCCATTCATCCATCCGGCCTTTTATCCAACCGTAAAACAATAAATCCGGCCATCCATCTAACCATCCATTCATCTGTTCTCCCAACAGGCAATTCATCCAGCCGTTCATCCATCCAACCAGCAATCTGTCTATCCATTCATCCAATCAGCAATCTATCTAGCCATCCATCGCCCTTCAATCCAACCTGCCTGCTTTCCAGCGATCCATCTATCCCCTAGCCATTCGTCTTTCCAGACGGCGATGAAACCCTTTATCAATTGTCCATCAATCCAATCATTCATACATCAAAGTATTATCTTTTCCATGTAACCAGCAATTCATCAAGCCATGTAACCATCTAGTCACCCATCTTAGCCTATCCATGCAACCAGCTATTCATCAAGCCATGTATCCACCTAGTCACCCATGTTCTATCCATGCAACCAGTCATCCATCCATCTCTCTATCTAGACATTCATCTTATCAGATATCCATTGGTCCAATCAGCCGCGTAGTTCTCGTCCCTCCAGCAATCCATCCCTCTACCCGTGCATCGATACAACAATCTATTTATTCAGCCGGCCCCCTCCAGCGATCCACCCATCAGATTTCAATCCAGCCATCCATTCAACCCTGTGATTTTGCTGCTGTTACAAACATCTGAGTCTGTTCTTTCCGTTTAAGATAACTGCTGCTCATTTTCGGGAGCAATTTAGCTGCAGTGGGCCGCTAGCTTCACATTAAGTCATATTTTCCTTTGCTAAAGTGAAGGCGAACTTGACCATTGAATAGCAAAAGTGTAACGGTCACGAAAAGCGTGATCAACTTTCGAAAGTGCAATTTAATTTTCAGATTTCCTAGCGAAATCAAATTTTTATTTCTTGATCCAGTTTTCCCAAATTGGTCTAATTTTATCAAAAAATGTCAAACAAAATTGTTCTAGAAATTCAAAGAGCTTTAAAGGCATCCATGTTTTTCTTTTAAATTCGAAAAATGAGATTCAAAATTTATGTCAATATTTGTTTTCTGTTTACTTGCGTTTATTGACTCTTTTCCAACTGTCTATGTTTGAAATATGAGATTTTTGAGGTCTTTTTCCGAGTTGATTCAAGGCTCTGGATATCAGCCTTGTGTTTCGTTGCAATATCGATCCAATTTTTGATCAAAACTTCCGATTTCATTTTTCATTCATTGGAGGGGGAGGGGGGAAGGGGAGGATTACTGAAAAGACCCTATGGCCGTTAACCTCATCTCACGTGCTTTAAATCATTAATGTTCTTGTAGAAGTGTGATCGTTTGTTTTACATGTTTTGTACAGTGAAGTGGTAGTTTTGTAGTCACTTTTGCCCTTTGCTGTCCTTTAGATCTATCCTCTCCCTCGGTAGTTCCCTCTTTCATTCGACCTCCAACTCGGCCGCCCCTCAGTCCTCAGGGGGCGGAGGCAATGGGGGTCTCCCGCTCAACCACACGCCCTCCGTTCTCGGCGGTGGCTGTGGTAGCCTGGCGGGCGGGCCAGCGGCGTCAGCAGCAGCGTCTGACTTTGAGTACCACCTGTGCGATATGACACCGGATGCCTGCACCACAAAGTTAGTTTGCATATTAACTCCCCGACCATATCTGTTAACTGACCCATGTGAATGCTATACATCACGTATCTTTGTTTGTTTGCACTCAATTAGTTGTACGCTCGGCAATTTTTTTCACATTTCACATCTTAAATTAATATCATTCGGATTATTTTATTGTTCTATGATACTACCTGTTAATTAATGAAGTTTTGTGAAAACAATGAAGTTCCCTATTTCAGATTGATATGACTCTCAGTAAACACTTACCGAAACCCTCTGTTTGAAATGAAGCTGCGTGAGAGAGTCTACTCGGATGCTGATAATTTTAAACACTTAATAGAAGATGATTTTTGTGTATTCTAGTTATGTCAGCTGCACACCATGACTTCGTTGAGCAAAAGTTTTTTGATAAAAAACTATTGATTCAAAAAATTCTCTGATCAAATACATTAATATGATAGATTTTTTAACAAATATATTACAGATTATTACAGAAGCGAGATTGCGTGATTATTACAGAAGCGAAGCCTGTGTTATTATACGAGCTCGCTTTTAATTGAACGACGTGATTTTTGCTCTTTTCCGTGTTTTTCTACTATTTCGATTTTGCTAGTAAGCATTCAGCTTTTTTTTTACTAGATGTTGAAGCTTTCTTTAGTATCAAAAGTGAATGTTCAACTTTAGATGTTCAAGAGTAACAAGAAGTTACCTTTTGAACACTTGATCCCAAATTGGGTTAGTTTTTCATAGTCTCGAGCTCGCTTATGAACTGTTATAATATCAGGGCTTTTTGGGAACAAAAATCGAACTTTTTGGTGCGACGTTAAGGGGTTATTTAACATCATGATCTGGCTAAATATGTATTTATTTAAGTTCATTGTTTGCTGTTTGATATATTCTAACGCATTGCTGAGTGGGCAAGGCAAGTTACATTTAGTTGGGAGGTCTGATAGAATTGCGTGCTGTCAGAGATGTTTGTATATTGAATTTGATTTTTACAATATATTTTAGTATGTTCTTGCGTTTTTCCTTTCTAGACGTTTTCAGAACTCTTTCGCGAATTTTTCGCTTGTGTTCGTGAAGTGCAGCTTCGCTTCTGTTTAAATAAAATCTATTTAAAAATAATTTTTGGGGTTTAAGGAGCTTCGAGATTATGTACTTTTTCTATAAAACTCGAAATTGTCAAAACGAAATGGCAAAATTGTGGAAACAAAGTGAATTGTGGAAACAAAATGAATTCTGAATTAATGTTTTAGGATTGCGAGGACCTTTTGCTTCTCCGATGGTGGTCAGGCTTTCTATCTCTGCTCCCCCTTCGAGCTGCAAAGACTCACCATCTCCTCGGAACTATGGTAACATTTCAAATATTATCTGATTTTTACTGATTATGAATTTATCTGAACTTATGGCATCTACCCGAGAGGGCGAAAAAATGCAGTGCCAAATGTTTTCAGCCGCATTTTTGAGATTATACTTCTTGGCGAAAAATTATAAAAATTTTATATCGTTTCGAATTAAAAGATTTGATTTGATGCACAGAACAAAAATGTCCTGCTAAAACAGGAAAAATTCGGTTCTCTGCTAATATGGCGTGATGTTAAGATCGCAACCATCTTTGCGTAGAACCTTAGGAAATAATAATAATTGCACGCGTTTTCTTTGCGTTTGGGGGATTTATCTTTTTGAAGCAATTAATAAAAGCAGAAATTTTGTGCATGTGTTAGTCGATGCATGTAATTTTAGCTCGAATCATGACGGTCCTAACTATGACAGCAAAACATGTTTCTCTGTAATACTTTATTTTTCGAGGGAAAAACTACTAAATAGAAGATTTCGTCTCACCTTGGGTGATCGGAGCAAATAGGTAGTGCGTGATCAAACGTGTCTTGTTTCCGTTTAAGAGTCATGAACGCTTATATAGATCTTTGTGATTTTTTTCGGGAAAAAATGATTTTTTTTCACGCTCATATTAGGTTTTCCGCAGTTTGACTTTCGATTTCTTTTTAAGTTCAGGCCATTTGCTTTGTTAAAATGGAGGCAAACTCCACTATCAAACATTAAATGTAAATGTCATAAAAATCGTGATAGACTTGTAGATTCGAAAAGGGAATTTAATGTACAGGTTTCCCAGCGGATTGAAAAATTTACCTGTTGATCCAGTTTTCTCAAATTGGGTAAATTTTGATAGAAAATGGTCAATTATAAATTGGTCTTGAATATACTTTTTCTTTGAAACTCTAAATTGAAGTTATTCTTTAAAAAGTAAGTCAGTTTTTTTTGTTTCTTTGCTTTCCTTGACTATTTTCCAACTGTTTGCTACGTTTTCAAAAAAACAAGTCCTAATTTTTTTCTGTTGTCTTGCGTTCATAGACTACTTTGACTCAGTTTTTGTCTTCTATTCGGGCAAGCTGAAAATGCTAAAGTGCAAGATGTTCTGATTTGATAATAAGCTTTCAAAAGATAAATTTTGATTGCATTAAGACTAAAAACACAGATATTATTTTCGACTAAATAATCGTGAGTTTTGAAGTGAAACTTCTCAAAATTACTATCGTTTCCATAAATTTCTTTTTTTTTCTTTGTGGATATATTTACAAGAACGTAGTGTACTATGATAGTACGATTCGACTTTTTTTCCATCCTAAGTCGCAAATAAACACAACAGTATGATAATTAATATCCTATTACAGAAAGTTTTCGGCTGGCGCAGTACAACAGTGCCGAAAAACTGAGTTCAAGGGTGCCGAAAATTTGAACATATCAAGTGCGGCAATCAAAAATCCGAAAATAAAACTTTACAAGCACCTCAAAACAGTTTTTTGTCTTCTGTAAAACGTTGTTTTTTCAAAAGTTTAGGCAAGTTTGGTCCATACTAAGCGTTATTCATGACAATGCACAACTTGTCATTGGCATCCGTTAATAACATCAGCCTGTTTCTGAAATGCATAATAAATTATAAACATGAAAAACGCCTTCAACCGTGTTTCATTTTTCAACTTCCCTAAACAGCTTTCGGAAGCTTAAACTTTAATAAAAAAACGCCATTAACTACTAAAGAAAGATCAAGAAATTCAGAATTTCTTCAAAAAAATGTTTTCAAAATAATCATATTTCACAACTTTATAAGAAAAATTTCGGCTTGAGTTCCCTTCGGCTTTATGTCCGGCACCCCTGTTGAACGCCCTCGATCTCAATTTAATGCGCGTAATTTATACGCAGTTTGCCTGATTTCATTCTAATTTATTACATACAAAGTATGGTTTTGTTGCGTTTCAAAGTGCTCTAAGGACATTTTTTTTCTTTCGAAACATAAGTTTTTTTCAAACAACATGTTTTTTTCTAGTTCCTTGCGTTCATGACTCTTTTCCAAGCGTCTGTTGGCTATGTTTTTAGATTGAAATATGTGAAAAAGATCATCTGTGAACTCAATTTTCACCTTCATCTGTTTCTGGCCGTTTGAATGCTTAGAATTAGAAGTTGTTTTTTAATGGCCGTGCTGTGTGTTTCCTGAATTTAATTTGTCTCTTAAATGTCAAATACTACGGTTTTTATTGTAGTCTACATCTATAATCTTTTTTAAATTATTGTCATTCGGCGCATTTCATACATATTGTCGGAATATTAAAATCATCTCAGGGCGTTTTATGACTTCGGGAAGTGGATCGAATCTTAAACCGAAAAAAAGTGAACCCATGTGCCCAACTAATTACCGTCCCTTCCTGATATTATTAGTTGTTCTTGATTGACTTGGAAAAAACTGTCAGTCTCCAAAAGGAAATGAAAAATTGTTTTCACCTTCATTTCATTTCTGCAGTCTTGTAAAATTAATTGTTATCGCCCTCAGTAAATCGCCAATTGTTATCGCGTCAACTTGATTTTTTGTAAAGTCCGATTCAACGTTTGTAAAGTAAAACCGATTCAACATACATTCAATCAACTCTCTGTGAAAGCGCTGTTTGAGACGAGTTTTAACGTCCTGGTTTTCAACTAAATGAGACTAAGTAGTTAAGTTGGCAGATTTGATAAGGCAGCGCCTGTTTTGAGTTCTTAACTTCCTTGAACTATTGCTCATTCTGCAGTTTTTGTCGTTATTATTTTCTCAATCTTGTCTTTTACCCATCTTAATTCAGAAATGAAAATATACACGCATTTTTTTTCTTACAGAAGCAAGAAGCAAACATTGAATAACGCGCGCTCAATTTGAAGTAATTCTTTTTGTAGAGTTACAGAACGTACATACAGAACGTTTATGAATAGCTGTGTCAGTTGTCAAAAACTGTAAAATTTGGTTGCAGCTCTGGCTTTCAAGCGATTCAATGAGTGGTTCCATGCTGCATTTCGTATCTTTTACGTTATTCGATTCGTGTAGAGCTTAAATTAAAAATTACATACCCTACTGATTCTGTCTGCATTTTTAATCTGAGCTAATTCAAGGAAGAGAAGCCTTTCATTTAAATTTTCTAATCCAAATCAAGTATGCTGAGAACTTATCCAGACTTGTCTTTTGTCGAAATGGTTTTATTTTTTTTCTGTCCCTGAACGTAAATGCTTAGCGTCAGTTAATTTAACACGGTTTATTTTTAGCCGAAACTGCTATTTATGGTCGGCTTTTGACAAAATAGTGCTGTCGTCACTTCTACAAATATTACTCCCTAATTTATCGTTGTAGGAATCGTCAATGGTATAGTTGAGTTATGGTGAGTGGAAAGAGTGTGAATAAGAGTAAATCTTTCAGTCGGAAGCTGCAGGAGTCGGTCGGTCTGTTCCACGTGCAACAGGAGATGCCCGAGCAACCAAGTAGAGGACTGTTCAAAAGTCTGTTCAGCTCAGCCGCCGCTGTAGACAGAGAAGAGCTATGTAAGTTCACATACAGAGACAATTATGGCTGCAATCATGCCCAGAGATGTATCAAGGATTTTTTATGGAGGATGATTAAAGAAAAATGAAGCTACTTTTCAAATTTAATTTGGGAAAATTTCGGGCAGAAAACGTGTAAATTCTTAAAAAGAGATATCAGTTCCTGATGGGACTCAGGAAAAAGTGGTTCTTCGACTGTCACCGTTACCAGAAACAAACATCAATTAATCGTCGAAACAATCAGTCTCACAAAGTTTTTTTTTAGAAATAGTTCTGTGTTTTGTTGAATTTTTGCTTTTCGCCGTATAACCGCCGTTTTAGTTTTAACCACCAGCTGAATTAGGGGGACCCCTGCCGACGCAAAGGGTCACTCCTTTGTACTAATTTGAGACTGAAGGCGCCCAAGTATGCTTATTTTTAGGGGGAGCGCTCGCCGAAAAAACGCGAATTTTTGGCCAAAATTTTCCATAAAGTGCCTAAAAATGCCTTTTTTGGCCGTTTTTTTAAAATAAACTGTCTGCGGTGCAGAAATTTCGGCTAAAACCAGGTCTTTGTAGTGCTTTGGGAGAGCTCAGAAAATCAATTTGGTGGACCTAAAAAAAGTTGACAACATTTTCGAATTGTTTTAGAAAATCCGCCCCCCCCCCCCCCCCCCTCGAGAAAATCCTAGATCCGCCCCTGGTTTTACCTGCTTTTTTGTCGTGCTTGAGTAGTAAAGCTTTGAGAAGTGCAGTGAATATAGCTAGCTCAAATTCTTTTTTTAAAAATTTTACATTGATTTCGTTCCTTTTGTCCTTGATCTTTCGTTCCTTTTGCAGTCGAGAAATCTTTAAAAGTTAGTCAATACAGTTATTTCTATAAAGATAAATTGGTGTGGTTTAGTCGGCGAGAGCAGTGGGAAGGCGTCCAAGGGTCTGGCCAAATTCCAACCAGGCAAGGCTTCCACAAATCTGGAAGGGCAGAAGAATGCCGCCGGAACTGCCGCTGGAGAAGCTGCAAGAGCCAGAATGGTGAGTACATTAAAAACACTTCATTCGAAAAATGTTAGTAGCACAGGAATCGGAAGGTGATCGTTTTCAATTACTTGCCACGAAAATGCAAAGTAAAGAGATGATTTTTCAGATGGTGATTGCATTCGGCATAGTTGAGAGATGGCAACTTCGAGATTTTTTTTTCTACTCGCAGGGTTTTTACACTAATTATTTTTCCTGAATGTTTAACAATTAATCGAGGCGTGTAAATGCTTGCTATGTTAACATTTCAATGTTATGAACCAAATGAGTTCTCGCCTATTTAAAAAGTAAAAAAAGTTTTTTCACAGTAAATTTGAGTCTCATTTTTTTCTTTTAGTGGTTTGATTCTCGATATATTTAAACTAGTTTCAAATTCCTTTGCTGTAGTAGATTTTCATTACATTTTCCACTGAAAGTAAAAGAAATTATTTTTTGATGCAGTTTTGCATTGGGTTAGTTTCATCCCACAGTATCAATCAAATCTGATTCTCGAAAATCCAATAATACAACCAGGCGTTCAAGTTGAAATGCAAAATGTTTTGAGTGAAATGAGGTTTTCTTTTGATAGACTTAAATTTTTTTTTGAGTTTATTTTCAAAAAATTTCAGCGAAGGATGGATGTTAACTACAGGGCTTGTAATTATCTCACTCGCCGACTTCAAATTTGTGAAAAAAAAATTTCAATTTCAAATTCGTAATCCCATAAGGACATATCGAGTAAGTTTTCTTAAGCACTTTTTTTCTTTGCCAATCTCACCGAAAAAAGTAGGTGTTAATGTCTAGCAACAGGTTCACCGTTTGTATATTTAGCTGCAAGTTGCTGGACAAAATGTGTGGAAAAATCGTTGAAAGTGACGGAATCGGTTAAGTATGAGTTTGCGTAAAATCTTTGCAAAACTGGCCAGAATCTTGAAAGAAATTTAGTCAGGCTCGAATTAATTTTTTCGCGCTTTGACTTCCGATTTTTTCTAAGTTTAGTTACTTTCCCGTATTAAAAGGAAGGCAAACTCCACTATCGAACAGCTAAAATATAAAGATCACGGAAAACGTGGTCGACTTCTATTTTAATCTCGACTTCTGTCACATAATGAAGCAGTTTTCTCAAATTGGGTTAACTTTATCAGAAAAGTGTCAATCATAATTTTTTCTTAAGTTTTAAAGGTATTTTTTAGAAACCCTTATTTTTTTTATTTTTGCGTTCATTGATTTTTTTAAAACTTATTTGGCTAGGTTATGGTTCGTATTGGTTTTTTTAAGAAAAAGTTTGTTCATGTTCGAGTTTGATGCATGATTTATGATTTTTCTTTCCGAACAAGTCAGTATTTTTTTTCGCTTCTTTGCGTCACTTGACTCTTTTTCACATGTCTGTTGGCAATGTTTTAAAAATTAAGTTCCTTACTTTGTTGAAAGCAAGGTGTAGTGCTGGATCGAACAGCAAAAGTGTTAAAGTCGCAAAAAACGTGATCGACTTCTATTTCGAAGGTGGATTTTACCTTTCAGATTTCTCAGCAGAATCTGAAACTTATCTTTGGATCCAGTTTTCTCACTTCGGGTTATTTTCTTCAAAAAATCGTCAATCCTTCTTTGTTTTTGGAATTCAAGAACTTTGAGGCCCCATACTTTTACTTGAAAATGGAAAATTGAAGGTTTTTTGAAAAGCAAGTCAGCAATCTTTTTCGTTCCTTGCCTTCATTGACGTTTGCCAACTGTCTGTCAGCCAGGTTTAAGTTTTTCACGCTTGCCATTAGCAAGCGTTATCGAATAGGAAAGGCAGAAGAATGCCGCCGGAACTGCCGCTGGAGAAGCTGCAAGAGCCAGAATGGTGAGTACATTAAAAACACTTCATTCGAAAAATGTTAGTAGCACAGGAATCGGAAGGTGATCGTTTTCAATTACTTGCCACGAAAATGCAAAGTAAAGAGATGATTTTTCAGATGGTGATTGCATTCGGCATAGTTGAGAGATGGCAACTTCGAGAATTTTTTTTCTACTCGCAGGGTTTTTACACTAATTATTTTTCCTGAATGTTTAACAATTAATCGAGGCGTGTAAATGCTTGCTATGTTAACATTTCAATGTTATGAACCAAATGAGTTCTCGCCTATTTAAAAAGTAAAAAAAGTTTTTTCACAGTAAATTTGAGTCTCATTTTTTTCTTTTAGTGGTTTGATTCTCGATATATTTAAACTAGTTTCAAATTCCTTTGCTGTAGTAGATTTCCATTACATTTTCCACTGAAAGTAAAAGAAATTATTTTTTGATGCAGTTTTGCATTGGGTTAGTTTCATCCCACAGTATCAATCAAATCTGATGCTCGAAAATCCAATAATACAACCAGGCGTTCAAGTTGAAATGCAAAATGTTTTGAGTGAAATGAGGTTTTCTTTTGATAGACTTAAATTTTTTTTTGAGTTTATTTTCAAAAAATTTCAGCGAAGGATGGATGTTAACTACAGGGCTTGTAATTATCTCACTCGCCGACTTCAAATTTGTGAAAAAAAAATTTCAATTTCAAATTCGTAATCCCATAATGACATATCGAGTAAGTTTTCTTAAGCACTTTTTTTCTTTGCCAATCTCACCGAAAAAAGTAGGTGTTAATGTCTAGCAACAGGTTCACCGTTTGTATATTTAGCTGCAAGTTGCTGGACAAAATGTGTGGAAAAATCGTTGAAAGTGACGGAATCGGTTAAGTATGAGTTTGCGTAAAATCTTTGCAAAACTGGCCAGAATCTTGAAAGAAATTTAGTCAGGCTCGAATTAATTTTTTCGCGCTTTGACTTCCGATTTTTTCTAAGTTTAGTTACTTTCCCGTATTAAAAGGAAGGCAAACTCCACTATCGAACAGCTAAAATATAAAGATCACGGAAAACGTGGTCGACTTCTATTTTAATCTCGACTTCTGTCACATAATGAAGCAGTTTTCTCAAATTGGGTTAACTTTATCAGAAAAGTGTCAATCATAATTTTTTCTTAAGTTTTAAAGGTATTTTTTAGACACCCTTATTTTTTTTATTTTTGCGTTCATTGATTTTTTTAAAACTTATTTGGCTAGGTTATGGTTCGTATTGGTTTTTTTAAGAAAAAGTTTGTTCATGTTCGAGTTTGATGCATGATTTATGATTTTTCTTTCCGAACAAGTCAGTATTTTTTTTCGCTTCTTTGCGTCACTTGACTCTTTTTCACATGTCTGTTGGCAATGTTTTAAAAATTAAGTTCCTTACTTTGTTGAAAGCAAGGTGTAGTGCTGGATCGAACAGCAAAAGTGTTAAAGTCGCAAAAAACGTGATCGACTTCTATTTCGAAGGTGGATTTTACCTTTCAGATTTCTCAGCAGAATCTGAAACTTATCTTTGGATCCAGTTTTCTCACTTCGGGTTATTTTCTTCAAAAAATCGTCAATCCTTCTTTGTTTTTGGAATTCAAGAACTTTGAGGCCCCATACTTTTACTTGAAAATGGAAAATTGAAGGTTTTTTGAAAAGCAAGTCAGCAATCTTTTTCGTTCCTTGCCTTCATTGACGTTTGCCAACTGTCTGTCAGCCAGGTTTAAGTTTTTCACGCTTGCCATTAGCAAGCGTTATCGAATAGGAAAAAAAGACTTTTTTTCGGGTTAGCAACTACTGAAACAAAATCAATTTCATGAAAGTTCAAATTTAACTACTGGTTGGATACTAGTTTTTACAGGGTAATTTCAGGGGAAATTGAAACTTTTACGGTTTTTTTTCAAAGTTGGTGTTTTACCAACACATTTAGTGTCGTCTACCCAAAGATTGTCGGCTTTGTTTCTGCTTCCTAAGTTTTGTTCAGTTGGTAGCAGTTGCTAAATTGAATTTCAAATGTCTGGCTTGGCATTTTTGCCTAGAATTCCTGTTTGATAAAAGAAATATTATGAAAATAAATGGATTTTTAAAGAGTAATGAAAATAAAGAAGACCCTTATATAGGTCTTGCTGATTTGTTAATTTTTTTTAGGGTGAAGTCTTTAAATATTGATGCACTCGGGTATAATGCACTTTTTGAGTTCAATTGAAGTTCATCTGCTGAAAGTGACATAAATAGCTTTTTGCAAATAGGAACGTGGAATATGGAGTTTGCTTTTAAGATTTCCTAGCAGAATAAAAACTTTACTTATTGATTCAGTTTTCTCAATTTGGGTTCATCTTATCAAAAAAGCGCCAATCATAAATTGTTCTAGAAATTCCAAGAGCTTAAAGGGCATCTATTTTTTTTCTTTGAAATTCAAAGGTTCAAACTTTTTCAAGAAAGCAGGGGGTTTTTTATGTTTTCTTGCGTTCATTACTTTTTTTGAATCTTCGATTGGCTATGTTATTTTTTGAGACGCTTTGGAAAACTTTACTAGTTTTTGCAAAAATTGTCTACTGATTTTCAAAAAAGAATATCCTTAAAAAGTCTGCTTACGTTCATGTGTGCCTGCATACTTTTCTGGTCTCTTGTTGGTTCACTCCTTGTCTACAGCCTTCGAAAAGGTCTGTGGGGGAATCTTTCACCGATATTTTTGATTTTTTTTTCGTTTTCCCAAAAACTAAACTACCAAATCTGAAATTTTGGTTTCATTGAATAGAAAGGATATGAAAAGCTCCCCTCCTTAAGTGGTTATGCGCAATCTTTTTTACACATATAGTTATGTCCCTCGGAATTGTCAAATGGATTCGATTTTTGCTTTTTGTGATCGTTTTTGAATGCTTTTTTTTGTAACTTTGCTCAAAAACGAACCCCCAATCCTGAGCTTGTAGGTTAAATGAAGATAACCGGTTGTGGGAAGCTTCGCTGCATTAGCGACCTGTCACAATGTTTTGTTCAAAAAATTATTGTCCTGGGAAAAGTCAAATTTTTGATAGTTTGAGCGTTTTTCATTCTAAAATTCATGAGTTTTCCGAAATACTCTCCCATATTTTGGTTTCAAACCAACGAACGGGTTGTTAGAAGCTCCCCTGCATACGGTACTGCGCACAGATTTTATACTGGGTTAATGTAT